GACGTTTCGCCCGCCGATGGCAGATTGAAATCCCCCATAACTATAAGTCTGGGGGTCTCAACCGCCACCCCGGCTATTACGTCGGCCAGCTCAGGCAGGGCCGTTGATACATAGCAGGGAGCCAGGTATATAATCAACAAGCCCACTTGAACCCCATGCCCCCACTTCACAAGGAGGGACTCTCCACCATCTATCTGAGACACAGTGGTCTCCCTCGGACATAGATTCTCCCTTATAATGACCGCTACCCCGCCGCCCCTACCCCGGGTCCTTTAAAACAGAATAAACCTAGAACCTGTACTATTTCTTTAAGTACAAGGACTGAACTATTTCTTTAAGTACTTAAACACATTGCATAGAAAAGTCATCACCCAGGGAAATCCTGCTTTAGTTAGTTTGGCCCAAACTACCTACTGGCTTAACCAGATTGTATGTGTATAAGTGGACCTGCTATTGGCCCAATGCAACAGATCTTTGGTGGCAGAGATCAGGCACAGCTAATTTCAATGCCCTTGTTTAATCACAGCCCTCTTCAGCTTCTGCTCTTAGGGAGCTTCCATTTTTCTGTCATCCAATACAATTTGATGTTTAATGTCAGCAGAAGCTAGTAGACAGTTCATTTCTATTTTGATATAAATCCATCCCTTTGTGGGAATAGCATTTAAGGTGTCATTACCTAAACAATACACAAATATACACAATGTGCATGAATATGCTACCAACATCAAAGAGTGGTACTTAAATATATAACCCCATGGGTGGTTTTGCACCTATACTTGACTAGAAATTAAATAACCTGATTTAAAGTCTTGGTCAGGAATGAGTCTTGAGACCAATCACACTAAAGAAATGGGCTGGGCTATTTTCACAACTTGGAAGAAAGTGAGAGTGTGAACAATGCCTCTATCAGCCACCAGCTGCTTCTTGTCTTCAAAGCCCACCCTACTAGCATTTCCACTTCTCACGTGCCAATCGTTCTAAGGGCAGGACAAAAAAGGCACTTTTGCAGGGTCGTCTTTGCCCAAAGACCACCAAAACGAAATCTTTTGATGGGGAAATAAAGGTAGTCCTTGACTTATGACCAAAACTGAGCCCAAATTTTCTGTTGTTAAGTGAGACATTTGTTAAGTGAGTTTTGCCTCCTTTTGTGACCTTTCTTGCCACAATTGTTAAGTGAATCACTGCAATCAATAAGTTACTAACCTGGTTAAGTGAATCTGGCTTCCTCATTGATTTTGTTTGTCAGAGGGTTGCAAAAAGTGATCACATGGTCATATGCAATGTCATGCAAGCAAGTGAATTTTGATCACATGAATGCTATTACGGTTGTAACTCTGAAATATGGTCATAAGTCAGTTTTTTCAGTGCCGTTGTAATTTTAAATGGTCACTAAACGAACTGTTGTAAGTCGAGGACTATCTGTATACATCTCACTCAAAGAGAACGGAAATCACCTTCTGCCCAGCTAGACCCCGCGATCTTCACTTCTCTAGGGCGGAGAGCGTCCAGAAAGTCACGATGCAATTAAAACCTGTTCAGTTTTAAACTGATGTTGACTATCTGCCAATAAAAGCTGCGACAAGCGGTTCTTCTCGCTCTCTAATTTGTTTTCCGCACCTTTTCCAGGGCCGAAAAAAAAATCAGAGCACGATCCGACCGCTACGGCAACAGGAACTAGACAACCAGCCGTAGCAAAGCCCCACCTTTTATTTTTCTGAACAACAGCGACTTCGCATTAAGGCAGCACTAATCACGTCCAGTTACTTCTATTATATTATGTCTCTATGGAAAGGAACAAACTACATATCCCACAATGCCAAGGACTACGGAAGGGCTTTCGTGCTCTGTGTGTCCTTCGAGGGGTGGCGCTTTCTTTGCGTCGGCAAGATGGCGTCTTCCAGTGCGCTGCTGAAAGTGTGGAGACACCGGCTGAGTCTGGGGGTGCCCGGACGCAGGAATTTCTGGGGAGGACAGAAGTAAGTGTCCGATTGAGCTTCTTTCCATGCAACAATCATGGAAAGAGGCTCCTCATGTTGGGATGGGTACATAACATGGGGGATAAGATCGGAAGATGGAGTAAGTCAGTGGAGAATGGTTAACAGAATTGAGTTGCAAAAATTCAAATGCCACTAGATGGCAGCAAAAAGAGATTCTGGGCTGCCGTCTTAGGATCGCCGAGATGCTTGCAAACCAAGTTATTCGGGGGAGAGATTCCTTGGAACGCAAAATGTTAGGGTTTTTTTCTTTTATTCTACAGCTTTTACCTAGAGAGCTTCCGGTTGTGTGTTGAAGGGGTCCTTGGTGCTCTCTTTCAGCTTGCTTGTTCTCTTGC